ATTATAGATTTTACCTTGTTTGGTCCTTCCTTTTTAACAGACCTAAGACAGCAAATGCCTAGAAAAGAGTTTTTTATACAAACTTTCAAGAAACAAATAGAAAACCTGCTTCTAGAAATGAAAACTTTGTATAAATCAATTTGCAGCATACATGTAGAAATTAAGGTGAAGGAATTTTCTTACCATGAGGACAGCTGGGTCTTTCATCACTAACAAAACCTCAAAAAGAGAAGGAAAAAAAAGCATTTAGTTTCTGCAATATCTTCTTCCTCCTAAATAAATGTTAAATGTTTGATTAAATATAACTTAATTGACTGTGCGATATTGGGTAATATACCTTGATTGACTGTGTTATATTGGGTAATATCTACTTTTCTCAAGGCAGAGTGGTAATTCTGCGCCAGTTCAAACAACATAATGTTCAAGTGTTCTGAAAATACAAAAAATATGTATTCACTTTAAAATTGTGAACGTGAAAAATTATAATTGTGAACGTGCAGATATTTTTAAGAACCATTGCTATTTTCAATATACAAATTTATCATCGATACCAAGGAAACCTAGCTTGGGCTACCTGTGAACCAATGTGGTTTTATACAAAAATAAGTTGTTGTGTTGCATTTTACCTCGTACAGCAGCCTTGAGTGTTTGCTGATAATAGTGACAGTTTTCAAATGTGACTGGTATAATAACTTCACGACATGGCTTCACATTATCTTCGCAATCTTTTGATGTAGGGAAACCCAAATCATGCTCATTTTCCTTGAAAAGAGATTATCTTGTAAATCCTATTATCAAACTCATGAATAATTCATGAGGAAAACACAATAGAAATCACGACTGTGAAGGGTGTTGTAAATCTGATACAAAACTGTGTTCATTTGCTTAAACTTTAAGATGGATTTTCTTGCCCAAATTCACTTTAATTTTGAAAATTTTAGTGAAACACAAAGGAACTAACCTAGACGTTTGATAAGTCATATACAGTATTCGCRTCCGTGTTGTATCAGATATATAATCACTCGGCTACGCCTCGTGGTAGTATATCTGATACAACACGGCTACTCATACTGTATGTATTACAAGTAATAGTGATTACGTAATTGCTGTCATTGTGTACATGAGGATTATGCACCTTACATGAAGACTTGCTGTTATTTTTTCTGTCATTTTTGGCCAGGCCTGTATGTCTACTGCTTTGTCTTTGCTTGATGGTTGGACACAAGAGAGTAGGCTTCTTTAATTCACAGAAAATATTTGCATTCATGCTTTTGAAATAAAAAGCTTTACAAAATCATGACTTTATCAATAAGGTCAAACCAATGCATTTTAATCTTTCTCATGATTACTTTAATACAACTGTAACATTGCCGACATACCTTTTGATGTTCCTTTCTGGAACCAACTGCTAATTCCCTAGTAGTGATGTCATGAACACCAATGTTGTTGATATTGCTGGAATGAGGTTCTATTTGATGGTCTTTAGTGTCATCATCAGGGACATGAAATAAATCATCTCCAGTATCRCATGTTACATCAGTATAGGAATTCTCGCTTATTACAAGGGGGTTAGAGTGAGGCTTGCTTAAGACAGGTAAAGTATGAAAACGGACTGGTGAAGCTGCAGAATTATATGTGATGGATGTCAGAGCTTTGTTGTCATCATGAGATAAATCTACCAATGAGCTTTGGAAAAACCCTTTTGCATCATCACTGACATTTACTTCTGCTGATGATGATAGAGGACATACTTGAAGAATATCATCTCTTTTGTCTTCAGACCTAGAAACACTGTTTGCAGAGAACAAAGCCAAAATTTGTGATGTATCTCTTTTACCATAGCAGCTTTGATTAATGATTGGAGTGCGTTTGGTAGATACATTGTTCTGATCATCTCTTCTTGTCACTTTCTCATCAAATTTCCTTTTTCCTGCAAACAAATCCAATGCTATTTTATAATACATACATACATACACACACACACACACACACACATACATATCATTATTTGATAAAGCAGGTTTAAGAATAGTCAGCCATAGGCTGATGTGGACCTTCTATCTATCAATTTTTTACAGAAAAGTTAATAAAAAGTTAATAATAAATACATCTTATATCTTTAATTATCATCAACTCACTCGGCCAAGTATGGCTGAGATATGCACTGGATAAGGATTTATCCATTGGATAGCACTACCTACCCTTTGTACAACTTGGCCCTGACATATAGGTATAACTGCTACATACCTACTAAGTCCTGATTTTTCTTAGAATACAGTGTAAAAAACTGGTTTTTTGATGGCATTTTCTCATCTTTTGTTTTAGAGCTCCTTGCAAAATGTTTAGCACATAAGTTTAACTGCAAGAAATGAAACATTACAAGATAAATAGACATCTTATAATAAATACAGTTCCAGGCAGAATATGATGCAAATTTCCTTTGTTATTTGGCTGTTAAGCTGTTATTAAACTTTACCTACCCTTTCATCAGCTTCATCATCAGCTTTATTCAATATTTTTTTCTCTTTTATGACAAACTTTGGGGGACAAAACTCCTGAAAAACATTTATTTTTTCCCTAATAGAATTACTTAACTCATATATAGTTTATGAAGTCATATATTTACAATATGCCAGAACAGGCTCAATTTATATAAACTGCAGCAGTTGCTTTCCCCTCAAGTCAGCCTTTTAACAATAAATCAGAAGTGTAGGGAAGCGAGGATGGCATGCGTTGCTAATGTGTCACCTCTCACCAATGTACGTGAACTGGTCTTAGTGTTGTATGCAATCAATATTTGATTATGGACATTATTATGGAAACAAGCCTCTGTGCTTTATCTGTTATAACCTTGTAAAACAATGCTAGGTAGCCTTGTTCTGAAGCACAATAAAACTTACCATAGCTAGACTCCAGAGTATGATGTCCATAGTTAATTATTACTGATACAAAGTATTTGTAAAAGCCCAAATTACCTTGTTCTTTTTCGTGAATGAGTTGTCATGGCTAGAGTTGACTACACATGGATGGTTAGAAACTTGACAATTTGAATCAGCACCAGCTCTATTAGTCTCCTCTTCAATCGTTATCAAGTACCTCTCTGACTCAATTTCATCACCAATAGTTATCTAATAATCATCATATATTGCAAGTTATCATGCATCTGATGATAATCATAAACTTTAAATTTTAACGTTTTATTTACCCCAAGGTATTAGTTTAAACAGAATGTGAATGTTGTATGTTTACCTGATCAGAACGAACAAAATGCGAGTCCAGCAGAGCTTTCGTACCATCCTCATATAACACTACCTAAAGGAAAAAACATCCAAACACCATATAGACTGTTTTGTAGTCTRTTTGTACATGAATTTCTGGGTGGGGTAGAGTTAAGGGATGGTTTGGGGACAATAATTATTCTCTTTCATATTTAATATTCATATTTATTTCTTAGCAATATGCGTATATACTGGGGTTGCATGGTTTTGGGTTGTTTTTGGGATAATATTAAATCTCCTAGCTATTTTATAAATATATATTATTAGCATAGCTTTTGTATTGTATTTTATATCTTTAGGAAGGCACTTTGTAAACCAGTCCATGACTGAAAGATTAACCTTCATTAAATAAAGCTTTTATTATTATTATTATATTGTCATAGCTTGTATGCCTTACTTAGGTCAGGGGGCATTGAAATCTCTGGGTTTTTGTTTGTGTTTTTTTCGTTCCTATTCTTTTCTTTTAACTGCACTGYACTGCACTTACTTTCTTTGTATTTGCGTAGAGGATGAGAGTACCATCCTAAAAACAATATTTTAAAATTAACTTAGTGAGCTATATGTTCAACAGGTTGAGTGGTAACCTCCATGTTTTATGACAACTAAGTGTTATCCTATTCCTGACCAACCTGCCATGTTTTCTGTTTTTTGGTTTTCTGGTGAGTGTACAAAACCTATGTAAAGTAAACAAATATACGCATCAGCTTACTTAATTCATATACATTCTCATACACAGCTTACTTATACTGACACGAAAATGAAAATTTATCCGGACCTAAAAACGCATAAAAATCTCATGAATCCATCATTATATCAACATTTCTAATACCTTGAACTCTTTGCTTGACATAGTGTAAGAAACCTAAGCTAGCAGATACGTATCAAACAACTTTTTTCTTGGCCAATCGTGGTTGGACTGACACAACGAGGTGCGGCCATCTTGCCTTGTCTTCTTGGGGTGGTTTTTTTCGTGTTTACCCGCGCTTCAATCTTGCTAAGTCCCAGTCTCCCATCCCCACTCGGTATAGCTTGCCAAAAGCGGAAATAAAAGGACAACGTGAAAAATGGAAAAATGAAAGATTCCCTTCCCTGAGACATGAAGATAGCTTTTTCCTTCGTATCTTTTAGCTCTGGTTAGTACGCGGCCTTCAGAACTAGAGGTCCAGGTACGACTATCAGGATCTTCACGTCGGTACTTTTGGCGACTTCTTCCTGTTTTATGTGCAGAGACTTATCAATCTTTTCATCATGCTACTCGCTCATCGAGACAACAATCGCGACAGGGTTTACCGTTACCCAGGATAGGGCTCCTGTTGATAACAGTAAATTTATTGTATTTTACTGATAGGATAACCCTGTTTAAATAAAAGTATCTATCTGTTATCCGTCAATCAAATAAATAAATCCTAACCCGTCAATCATATAAATTGGTATATAATAAATCATATATAATTATATTCTCTGATTGGCTGCAGTGTATTGCCCTATTTCCCTGGCGTAGCGGTGAAAAGAGTGGTAAAATACCCGAGTACGAGGGAGGGTTAGCAACGTACCACTCCGTGCGTTATTGAAGTGAAATAATTAATTGCCTTTAGTTTTGCTCTTAGTACTCTAACATTTGACAAATTGTTTTTCACTGACTGAGAATTCCACTTATGGTATCTAGTTGAAGATTGCTCGGTCGACTAAGAATCGAGCTAATGCTTCGAGCTCTGTTTCGGTTGGTTAAAATACAAAAGTTCAAGTTCATAGTCTTCACAGCGGATTTACATACTGTGTAATGAGTTATGTAGTTCCGGTCTCAGCTGGTGTCTTTCGCCATAAAAAATGAACTGCTTAACTTTGCTCTTGGATTCACTTTTGGTTTTGGTACACTCTCTTGGTAAAGAGTGCTGTGGTAAATACACCCTTTCATTCACACCACCCACACCCTGAAAAACCGTAAAGTTGTTTATCAAATATCATGACATTTCTTGTTTACCAAGTTTGGTATATTGTAAACCATGGACTGAACTCGTCCGTGTGGACTACACTGGACTCACAAAGTTCAGAAAGTATCGCCCGTTGTCGTTTGGTCGGCCACTAAGATTTATGAGACAAATATTTATCCAAATACAATATTATTTTGGGGGCAGATTTCAAATATAACTCCACCTCGTTCTTGTGAGATCAAATTCCTATTTTATGGTATACAGAAGAGCTTTTACGTCCCGAATCAAAGAAATACCTTTAAAAAGTGCTCAAAACACCTACAGTCGGTGTTTCAATTCAATATCAAAATAAGGAAGAAAAATTAGCTGATATTTCAAGTTTTTTGATCATGACGTGTCTTGGATGAAAGAGCGCATGTGCAATTAGTCACATATTGCGTCACAAGAGAATTAATTGTGCAACTGCCTGAAATAAATTTAATATACTTGTGACGGCGTGCAGCTCTCGCGAGATCTTTGCAAACTGGAACCGCTTCTCTTCCGTGTGGAAGAAACAAAAAGGTTATAGTGCCTTCAATGTGGACAACAAACATAGTAAGTATTATTAGATGTTTAATCGCGTATCCTAGGTAGAAAAGGAGCTTCTTTTGGGGAGCTTGATCAGTTGTTCTGTCCGTTGCTCTCACACTCCCTCTTTTCGTTTGTTTATCGATCTATCTTAACTAACAACGTTTACCCTTCTTTTTGCGTCCTTTTCGAATGTATCTTGGTAGTAGAGATGCTTTATAATGTAAGGACATAACCTTCACTTGATTAACCGGTTTTTTAATGTTATTTAGTGCTACGACCACTGTGGACACAGTCTTATGGAGTTTCTGATCGATAGTGGAGACTGGTGCCAGGCCCAACACAACTGAACGTGTTCAAATTTTCGTTTTTATTAATCGTCAAATCTTATTGAATGGAGTAGCTTGGCTGCAAGACTGAAATATATTATTTACTGATGAAATGTGCAGTTCCAAAGCCCCTTGAAAGTGTAAAATTAATTGGAAAGCAAGTAAATACCGCAATGAAAATGCCTTCTGGCGCGCCATCACAGTCGAGGTCTTTTCATGGACCAGGACCAGTCATGCTTGAACACAAGAACATGAAGTTCTTGATTACTGATCGCCCTACAAATACCAACTTACCCCAGTATATTACGGTAGGTACCAATGTATTATATATTACGGTATAAACTATTGTATTCTTTGATGGTTTGACTTCTGATTACCTTGTATTCAGGAGTTGAAGAAGTACAGTGCAAACACCGTTGTGCGTGTTTGTGAACCGACTTACAATACAGAGTCGTTGCTGAAGGAAGGAATCATCGTGCTGGTAAGAAAATGTCTTTTCTACACCTTATATAGGTTTAGATTGTTTGTATATGTGTCCTTGGTTGATTGTGACTTTTGATTTCTGTTTTAAAGGGAACAGATAGCAATTGATTTGATATAAGACCACATATTCTATAGAGAGCTATTACGTGAGGTTAGGTCTTCCCAAACAGTGTCGGACAAATGCTATCCAGTTTGAAAAGAACCAATGCTTGTATTAAGAATCTTACTAGAAATATTTAAGACTCCTTTGATCAATTTACGTTATGGTTGTATTTTGTATTCTTATTTGCTTTTCTAAATTTCCTTCAATCGGTTCCTTTTATTCTACATTTTTTTCCTGTTCAGTTGTGAAATTAATCATGGCTGGCCATTTGTTTGATATTTCTGGGTACCACAAGTAAAAGAGGCTTTAAGATTATTTAATGGATTTTTCCTATTCGTCTTCCAATTGCTAAAGTATTTTGTCTGTGTTAACTTGCCGAGTATAAGGAGCGGCTTGTTGCTTACATTTCGTTGCTCAGAAATTTTACAAACCGGCTTTTCAGGCTTGACGGGCTTGTGTGTTAGACAGATCTTTTCTTCCTTTACGTTCGAATTTACTGTACACACCTATTTCAAAATGTTCTATAAAAAGTGAATATAATTATGATAGGGTTTTTAGAGAAGCTTGAATGCATAGATAGGACTGGTGTGCGTTCCTATGTTACGGTATATATTATTCCTTATTATACTGAACATATTTGAGGTTTTTGCAAATCAAAGGCAATAGAACTTGTGAATGTTCCTTTGCATTTACAGATTGAAAATTTATTCAGTCTCCAACATGATATTTTTTATATCCATTGTATGTAAACAATGCTTGTCCCATGAACTTTCGATTTGCTCTCTTCATTTGTTTTGACAAGTCAGTTTATGTTATATCAGAAAAATCTGTACAACTGTTTGGCATAGTATAAATATTATCTATAAGCTTACTTTGCAATAATACCTTATCTATACTGAGAAATAATAGTATATAACATATAGTTTATTCTCTTCACTACTAACACTGACAGCTGCAGTTAATGTCTTTACGTTATAGTTATACAGCCAAAACCCGTTAATAAGCAGACCCCCTATTAAGTGGACACCCTTTATAAGGCAGACCCCCTATTAAGTGGACACCCTATTAAGTAGATGCACCTTATAAAGCCAGACCCATATTAGTTGCCCTATTTCACTATGACGTCACTTCTAGTTTATGTGGGGGATAGAATCGCTAAATCCAATTGAAAAGTCAACAAAATTTGCTCCTGGCGAAACAGTTTAATCTAAAATGGCCTGGTTTTCAGATATAATGTGTTAATATGTACTAAAAAGTATTCTGAGTGTTTGCTGGCTATCCTACTTCTCTTCATGGATTGATACACAGGGGCGGCAGATCCGGGGGACACTCGCCCCCCACGAAATTTTTTTGGGGAGCCTGGCCCCCTTACAAAATAATCTTAGGCTTTGCATTTTTGGCTGTAACGCGGAATACTCGACCAGGTCTTTGAATCATAGTGAAGTCATACGGCCGGCTGCCAGATGGACCTTTTTAAAGTAAAATAAATCAACTTCAACAGAGTTCATAAACTTTCATTCCATGTTGTAAAAAAAATTGTTGAAAAGGTTCCTTTAWAAAAGAGCACTGAGCGCTTTTGTAATTTGGAAACAACTTTTAATGTATTAAAAATGGGTACATTTTCCCAATCTTGCAAAAACTGTTTTGGAAACATTCTTCTGGCTTTCTCTCCTGTTTACCCTGGTGTTTACACAAGCRTAATGATCATTGAAGATAGCGTTCAAAATTCACTCTAAATGGTCTCCAAACGTAGAAGAAACATTGAAGGAATGCCATGCAACCATTCCTCAAGTATTATATATTACATATTATAATAGTGTGATTATATGTGGTAGCATGCCCTTTTTTACTTCACATACACACTTCATTCTATATCCAAACTACAATATTTTTGTACCAAGACCAAATACCGAAGCTGGAAAAAATGGTTATAGTTATATAGAGGGGCTATTATCTGGATTAATCTACCAATAGATATTAGAGATAGATCAAGCTTGCAGTTGTTTAAGAACTCATTATACAGTTAAACTGTTCCAATAAATCATTAGGATAAATTAAGATTATATATGTTAAATGTATTTTTATCATAAGTTGATTTTGTTTTGGAACTTTGTATTTTTATCACCATAGTTTTAAGTATTGTATATCATATACACATGACTCTCTGGAAGAGCATGTGTTATGAAGAGATTATCRTGTCTAAATAAAGTTTTACTGATACTACTTACTAAAGTTTTACTACTATCCCAGTACTATTACTGCTACTACATGGGAATATGACTGAAAGTAAAAAAAAGCATTACAAAAAAAAAGATTTCAGAGATAAATGCAAATTATTTATTTATTTTTCCTTTGGTGCCCAACCAGTTTCGCTTAACCATTTGCAATTATTTTGATGATAGACCATTAATATGTGTATCCAGGGTCCCATATTTATAATCTAGCTTTCTTTTTACTTTGAAAGATCTTTACTGATTATTTTATTTGGTTTTCGATATGTTACTGTTTTTTTCTTTAGGATTGGGCATTTGATGATGGTGCTGCTCCACCTAAAAAAGTAGTAGAAGATTGGCTCAAGTTAATTAAGGGTAACTTTAAAGAAAAACCAGGCTCATGTGTAGCTGTACATTGTGTTGCTGGACTTGGTAGAGCACCAGTCTTGGTGGCTTTAGCCTTAATTGAAAGTGGCATGAAGTATGAAGACGCAGTTGAATTCATAAGAAGGTAAAGTTTTGATCAATGGTTTGGTACAATTCAGTTATCTTTTTGATTCTTTTTTGAACAATTATTTTGTATCCTCTAGCGGTGACAACAAAGTTAAGAAGCCAGTTATAGGCCTACAAATCAAAAATTGAACATTTTATCAAGGTAGTTGCCCCATTTTATTTCAGGAAAAGAAGAGGTGCAATTAATGCAAAACAGCTTGCCTATTTGGAGAGATACAAACCAACTAAGTTGCTAAAAGAAAAAGAAAGTGGTGGAAATTGTGTTATCCAGTGAATATACTATGAGATATGCCATAATAAATACCAAAAAAGTATTAAATATTGGGAAGATCAGTCAGAAATGTGCCAAGCAAATAGACTTATTTACATTCTACTGCTAGTAGCAAGTACTACTATTTTACAAACCCAATCGAGAGGCTACAATATAGTATAATGCAACAATTGTAATGAACATTAATAGTCATAGAGTGCAAACAATTAATCCGTGAAACACTGATTACTAAATAGTACAAAATAGTGCTAATTAAACAATAGAAAACAATGGAATTTGCATGAAATTGTGCTATTTAGTATTACTAAAGTTTCAAGGTTATATTGTTTGCAGTCTAGAATCATGGCAAGAATCATTACTGTGGTTTTCCATATTCTGTGAACTGCTCACTGAAATTCGGTTTTCGCTGCCTACAATCAAGAATAATCAGTCAGCACCTTTTATGTTCTTGACTGGCGAAAGTAAAGAAAAAACACAATTTCACAACAAGCCATTGAAATATCTGAGTTTGCAGAATATTAAAAACTTTTTATTGTCTATAATTTTTTTTGCTTAACTGAATTCTTGGAATATGACTCATGATATAATGATAACAATATCTAAAAATTATGTCTACTGCTCATGTAAATATTGTTTATACACAATGTAAAATAACACTCTTAGATTGAAAAAGAAAGGTCTCAAGTTACACAAAGAAATATTTTCATCTGACTTTTTCCATTTACCAAACTAAGTTAAGGTATAATTTAGTTTTAAAAAATGTCCGCACACACAAAGTAAAATAGTGGAATGGCCTTTACATTGCTTGATTATTGGAAATTATATGGAGAGGTTTTCTTTGAAAAATAATGTATGCAAATTTTCAATTAATATTGGAAGACTTGGCTATCTATAATACAGATATGAAACCAAGATTTGTTTGGTCTGTAACCATGATTCCAATTCATATTCAACAAATCTCAAAAATGACAACGAAATATTAAATTTTTTTCTTAATTTGTTAGCTTATTGATAAAACAAAAAAATGGTAAATAAACTCTAGAAAATTGGGTTAGGGTTAGGATTAGCCAGAATTGGAACGTGTCTGGCCAAATTTTTGCCTCACCAGTTATTTTGACCAATAATGTTGAGCCAGAAACATGGCTAGGTATGACCAAGCTAAAACTAATTTGGCTGGTGACTGACCAATTGTTAATTTTGTCCTGCTGAGTATATTGTTATTATGAGTAATATTATCTATCATTATGTGCATATCTTTTTAGTTTTACAGTGCTTGTTCACTAGTGACATATAAGCAGTGTTCTTTGAACAACCAGTTGCCATCTTGAGTCTTGTCTTTCAATATAATGGTACAAAATTTACTTGTATGTAARTTGCAAAGCAGCATCAATTGACATGCAGTGTCTGCTTTAATGTATTAGTAAACTRGTTAAACCAGTTCCACAAAACAAATATCTCATTTAGATGGAAAAAGTGTGTAATGTGTTTCAAATCCTCGTGTGCATTTAATAAACAAGAACACTGTATTAGTAAACTAGTTAAACCAGTTCCACAAAACAAGTATCTCATTTAGATTGAAAAAGTGTGTAATGTGTTTCAAATCCTCGTGTGCATTTAAAAAAACAAGAACAATGACAGTATTAGTAAACTAGTTAAACCAGTTCCACAAAACAAGTATCTCATTTAGATGGAAAAGTGTGTAATGTGTTTCAAATCCTCGTGTGCATTTAAAAAACAAGAACACTGTTATCGTCATAATTGATATTGGTGTTACTTCTGTCCTAAAAGTACAAAAAAGAACAGTATTTTGTCTGTAATGAGGATATTTTTGTAGGTAATGGGCCAATGTTCTTGATCAACTTAATAAGTAACATTAAAATATTTTCTTACTAAATTGAATAAATGCTTCCATGTGCACATAAATAATTTTATTCGATTCTAAATGGTTTGATAATAAATAGTAAGGCAAACACAACTATATAATTTACATTTTATGCCAAGTGCATTCTGATTGTGAGTGTTGAATTTTTCCAACAACTCCACACTCTATTTTCGATTAGAAAATGGCTGTCAAGTCTGGGGAGTACTTATATCTTGCAAAGCAGAAAGACTAGGAATGCACTCGGCCCATTGCAAATTTGATTGATGGAAATTGAATTGCCAGACATCTGGAGTCAGTTAGGTCTTAGAAACAGGACACATGCTGTAAAACAAACAATTAGAGTTAAGCAATTTAAATTAATTTTCACATATAATCACATCCAGGTAAATATTATGACACTAAAACAACATGCACTCTGATTAATCAACCAGATTGATACAGTCAGTAAATTTGTACAAGCATGTAACTATTTCTTGATAGATTATTGGCATGATCAGCAAGCATGCACAGCTTCAAATGGCTGTATCTTTTGTTTAGAACCCCAGCTTACCATACATTCACAATTTGACATGTATGATATTGACCAATCTTAAATAGTTTTCTATCATTTCTACATTTCCAGTCTTGTGCTTAGTGAAGATTTTCAATAGCAATGTAGATGTATGATTTAGCATGCAGGACAGTGTTTATCCTTCCCTTAAAGGCTTGTAATAAAATGCACAAGATTTATTAGGTGATTGACATACCAATCAATTGATATTATAGCCTTAACTCGTATATAATCTTGCTTCATTTACTAAGCTGAACATGAACCGTACAATGTATTGTATCTTAAATTATTTAATATACACAATTAGAATGGAGAGGTAAAGTTATCTCTATTATATACAAGTATTAGGGTAGAGTAATCCCATTTTATTAAAGGTAATTATGGTTTTGAGTGGAAATTGCACAAGTGGGTTTTTCAAAAACCTTCAAAATAGTACAAACCTGATACCTGATATGGAGAGTGCTATTCGAGTTTTTTGAAAAACACACAAATGAAAATTAATTCCAAATTGAAAGAGAAACCATATTGCTGATTAATATACATGAAAAATTTACAATTTTTAATTTGCACTGCAGCTATTGGTTAACAGCACAGCTCAGTCAATCAGAATCAAGTAGATTTTTCAGGTATATTTCAAACCATTAAACAATAGTATTTTTAAATCCAATAGGCAATAGAGAACATGTCTTTATCATTGGCTGTTAGACAATAGTTTTAGGGGTTAAAATAAAACCGCTAAGGTAAAAGCATGCCAAGACAATGGTTGTAAAGGGGATTAACTAGAATCAATTTTTTGTATTAGCAAGCAGTGTCAGTTCAATAGCAATACTTAATGCATTCTACTTAAATTAAACTGAATTATCATTTATTATACATTCAATCAAATAAATTATTGTTTTTTATCCTGTTGTATGCTTGACTTTATTCTTAATGATATTTAAAAAAGGTTTTTAATTTCAAAATGGCTCAGGCTTACTCCCTGTGCTTTCATTATTTGAATATTGAATATATTATGCCTTCTGACCTGAAAATATGTTTAAAAAATTAAGACTGCAGCAAACCATGCGATTTTTACATGATGTTCTCTGGAGAAATATTTCTTTGAAATGTTTTCATATCTGCACAAATATGAACAAATGAATTTCAGAAAGATAAAGGAACTTTTTTCTAAAAAACATTATTATTATATACATTATATAGTATTAAACAGGCAAATTACATACGAAGGTAATAGGACTGTTCTTTTCTAAAGGACCCTAATAACAGGGATTACTAGGTTTAAAAAATCTACATTTGCCTCCCTTAGAGCGTGCGCTCAAAAACCGCTCAAAAATCTACAAGATTTTATTGAAGAACCATACACGTTTTGAGCTTCACAGGGCAAAACCCTCAAATTTTGCACGGGACTCTCTACTTTTTAATAGCTCATTCGAAAAAACTCCTAAAAATCTAGGTTATATCAACATTTTAGAAAAAGTTTAAATCAGTAACACATGAAAAAATAGATTTTTGTAGGGATTTTTGTTCAACTTTGATATTTTTTAAGAGCACCGAAACTACAAAATATGACAAATCAATGTATCTCTTTGTCTTTTTGTTGAAAATATCCATGTATTATTGTAGAATGATTGACTAGCCTTCATTYGTGCAATCATATAGTCTGCAAATAACTATCATATGAATCTTAATTTTTTCTAATCACTTCCGGTGGCGCATTTTTTACTCCAAAAGCTCGTGCGTAGGCTTCCATTAAATGCTGATTATCTCGAAAACGAGCTCGGGACACCTATTTTTCTTTCCAGATTTGGAATCAGCATTAAATTTCAATTTGGAAAATCAAAGTYTTAAAAAAACTTGAAATCAATTTCCAAAAGTAGGCAGTCACCTTAAAGGGCAAAACAAAATAAATTGTCTCCACTGGAAAACATATTCTCTCATCATGAAAAAAATTGCATTGTTCTTGTCCACAAACATGGCAGCCATGAAAAACCTCTACTTATYGTGTAGTTCAAGAAAATATCAATACCCCCACCAATCTGTAAAGGGACATTCAGGAACTCCCAATTTTCTTCCATACACACTCTGTAATTTTGTTCTTTCTCTGACCCCCCTCCCCTCTAGAATTTTCAATATTTTCTGGAACTACACATTAGTATGAGTCCTGAATTGGTTAGGGATTATCGTAAGTTCATAATACTTATAGATTATTGTATTAGGTTATTTTAAATAAAAGAAATTAAATTAACAACTTAAATCGGGTATAGGTGAGGGAAAAAAAGAAAGAAAGAAAGAAAGAAAGAAAGGAATAAAGAAAAAAAAATCACCTGTGCCTCTTGTTACAGATGACATGAATATCACTTCTGTCAAACATGAGGGCAGTCAAACATTATTGAAATATCATTATTGACCAATCAAGTAAATCATAATATTATCTTTTATTTGTTAAAAAAGGCTGATTATAGTAATATTGGCACTATTTTATGCTCACAAGGCTCAACTTACATGTTGATCTTTATGGAGGGAGAAAAACCAGAGAACCCGGAGAAAAACCCTTGTGGTAATGAAGAGAACAACACATCAAACAAACTCAATTCACATGTGGCGTCTGCAGGGCTATAACCAGCTACCTGACACATTGAACTCACAGCAGTAAAAGATGAGGCATTAGCAATCAATACACCACCCAAGCCACTCTGTGTTAGCTTCGAAAAAGGCTCTGGTGTTTTCTTTTTCTATTCAGTCTTTTTTACTTTGTGATAGTTTTTCCAATCCTACTAATAATATACGAGAATGCAATTGGAAATGTTGACTTACATGTTGACCTAATGACCTTTGTGATATCAATCAAGCATTTGGTCAAATTAATCATTTTACATATTTTTAATATCTTTTAAAGTTGAAAAGCTTTGTTTGACAATGCCATCGTATATGCTACATAAAAAAGCTATCAGCTGCAATGGACAATTTCAAAATCTTCATAAGAACATTCTCTTTTAAACAACAATAATTTTACATTACTGGCTGACTACAAGTATAATTTCCAGTATTATTGCAATACGACCCTGCAGGAAGGAGATACTGCATACTTGTCACATAAACATGTCATCATAGCCAGGGGGAGGAAGGTGATCTGGATCAGGTCTGAAATGATCAATACATCAAAACATTTTTTGATCATATGTTATTTTAAGGTATTTCTTTACACCCAGTTGGTTTGATGGAGAATTAGCTGAGAAGTATTATTTGATAACAAAATTTACCACTAGTAAGAATAGGGGCAAGAGAGCCTATGGAATTCAGGGTAAACAAAGCTAGGTAGGGCACTTTTAATGAAGGTGTAAACTATTCCTCACTCTTCTTTTTGGCAAATTTATTTTCATTGCATCTGTTTTTTAAATTGATAAGGCACTCTGCTTGTTCAAAACTTCCCTATCTTGCATCCCTTCCACTAAACATCTAAGTAATCAATAAACTTATGTAAAAGGTCACTATTAGCATGAATTACTAACCCTGCAAATGGCCCTGATCTTCTATCTTGTCTTGAGCCTCCTGGTGGAACAGGACCAAATGGATCAAACCGTGCTCCAGGAGGTACAGAACCCCTGAACAAATTAAGTGACACAGCAGTTCTTAATAAAACATTCAAAAAATAAACCATTCAAAAATAAACCATTCAACCTCGTTCCCAAGCACTATAACTTAATATCTATATTTCTATATCTTCATTCAAAAATATAGAAAGTCTGATTGACTGACTTTTTTCTATAGAATAAACATGTATCATTCAATAATAAAAATTTGTGTTTCAAACATGGGGTAATCCACAACCGGCAGAACAAAGCCTGGGAGTGGATGAACAAACAATGAATGGTGAGATAAAACAAAGAACGCAGCTSACATGTAGAACAATACACATTGTTCACCATGCTTTCTTTGTGTTTGTTATTTTGTCCAATCCCAAGCTTCATTCTACCAATGGACACTGACCCCAAACATGAAACACCTGGCAAAACTTTTAAGTTGCTTTGATGCATACAGTATTGAATAATGCATTACAGTGCTGACACTTGAACCAGGAACACTTCAAGGTTTTTTAAACATTTTTGCATAACATTCCAATCAAAGCTCTCTGTAGAAACAAAGGAATCAAACAATTCTTTAGGCACCATCTACTGACTGGAGTTTATAAAAGTGTTTATCTGTCTTTGTTGCTTAAATCCTGAAACTTGTCTCAACTTTACAAAATAAGGTACGCTAGTAAGCAAGTAGCATTGAGGATGGGGAACAGAAAATATGTGAGCTGTTTTTTAAACTATTTTTCATGTGTGCAAGCCATCCTCCTTCTTTTCTAAAACATAAAAAAATGCAAATAAACACAAGCACTTTGGAGAAAGAATGACAATGTCAAGTATGATGGCACACCCACATGGAAAACAGTTTTTAAAACATGCTTGTATCCTTGTTTTGGCATCCACATCCTTAATGCTTGTCAATACTTAAGGTCCATTATAATACCTTGGTAATTGTCCAGGTGGTGTGGCTGATGAACCTGGTAAAGTTGGCAAGTCACCAGATCTGAAAGGATCCATTATCATACCACCACCACTGCAAAGTCATTCACAGTCATTCAGAATAATGATCATCATCAAATCAAATTTTAGCATATTTATCAAAAAGGATTTAAATATATTTTTTACCCTGGATGGCCTGGGAATCTATCCCCATCTCCATATGTAGGGAAAGTTCCTTCTGGTGGTGACCTATTTAATAAGATAGATAAGAATGATGTGCCTTATAATTAGTTTCCTAAAAAAGGAACATTGAATCAAAAGAAAACATTTTCATGATGGTCTTACCATTCATCTCTAAAATCAGGAGGCTGTCTAGGATGAAGATGTGGGGGATCATCCTGTAACACACTTCTAGGCTGTTCTCTAGCATAAAAAGTTGATCAGATTCTCAACATATGTAATTAAACAATCAACAAAACATATTCCCATTTGCCCTAATATTGATGGACAAATGTGATGCCAGTTAAGATGCCAATGCTACAGTATTTCTCAAACCTTTGAATAAAATAAAGTGATTTATTTGRTCTTACTTTGTATGCCTCGTAATGGCTCACAGTTCTCTAAAATGTGGAAGTGATCATTTTAATGTTAATGTCATGAAACAACATCATGGCCTTCTAATTTTATGAAATATTATATTGAATACCTTCAAGGAATCCTATAATACTTAGCACATCATCATACCATAACTACAGTACCAACTTTGTTTATAGTGGTAAAACTTGACATTGCATTATCAATGATAACTAATAACGAGGCCCTCTTAACTTTTCTAGTTGCTAAGAGTTTTGGCCACCAATAAAGTGGTCATCTGATTGAGTGACAGTGAAAGTCTTACCCTTTGCAGATGTAATCATTTATAAAGGTTGCTGCCTTAAATAACTTAATAAGACCCTAAGTGATAGTTTGGCTGGGACTTGAACTGCAACCTCCCACTCTTATCAATTTGAGTATTTGTAGCATTTTTGAAGATATAAATAGTACCTTTGTTCTTTTTTAATTCTTTGGTTCTCCTCCTTTGGTCTATGTGATGTAGTCCTACCACTAGCAAACTTATCCACTATTTCCTTATTAAGTTTTGCCCTCAGCTGCTGTAGGTGCTTATATGCTCTGGAATGGAGAATGAAATTGTTTTCTTAGTTTCTCTCTTAAAAAAATGAAATTGAAGAATAAAAATTCTTTTAATATTTTTTATGGTCTTTAATAGCTTAGAATGACTTTTAAATGTTTCACCTTTTGTTCTGCAATCTGAGATYGAAATTATGGATTACTTTGTTTGAAGACCCTTTGTATTTATGTTCCCCAATTCTCCATTTTATATAAAGGTTCAAACGCTAGGACGAGGTTTTGCATTAGAATTCAAGGCAGAGGGCCGCAGGCCAGAGGTCTTGAATTCTAATGCAAAACCGAGCCAGTGCGTTTGAACTRGTTTAAAATATCAACTAAGCCCTAAATTCCATTGTTTCGATGCAAAACACGAAATACTAAATTATAATGAATTCAGAGAGGTAGATTACTGTTGCTTTGTTCTTTTGGAAATAGAGCACAATATATCCGCGTTTGCACTCTATTGTTCCGATAGAAATAAAAATAGCATTGTTTTCATACCTTGCATCCTCTCGGGCAAGTATAAGGAAAAGTAATTAAAAACCTATCCCGGGTTTATAATTCAGCCCCGCTCTCCCCTGTTGATATCAATTCCGCCGCCGGCTTTAAGAATCTGGGTTTTCCGCCAAATTTAAGAGCCTACATAAAACAATGGATTTAGGGTGTGGTTGATTTTTAAAGCTCTGTTCAGTGACCATCAATAATGGTTTCAAGTTGAGGCTGGAGTTTCCAAGCATAACGAAACTCCTTTGGACGTCACTCCTATGCCTTTTATCATGCACGGCTACTCTAACCTCAGCTTGGAWCCTATTATTTGTGGTCACTGAACTGAACTGTAATATGGAGTATTCTATTCTTATTGGCTCAAGCAAGTGCATGCATGCACATCCAGTAGTATTTATTATTGATAACAACACAATATATTAAATCTAGACCAACTATCAAATATCTATTATAAAAATCATTATGACATTATCACAAAAAGCTAATGCAGTTAGTTTTCTGGTAGAGACCTGTTGAACATCAGCTGTGGATTTTGATCAAGTTTATTGTACTCCATTTCATTTGATGTAAAGTCATCGACATTCAATGTAGTATCTTGAACTTTTGACTCATCTTCTTCCTAAAAATAAAATTTTAAAAATAGAAAACATGATCTCCCTCTTTATAACTGTAAAAAGCTTGCATCCTTAATTAAGAAGGAAATATATTGACTTTGATATTTGACAGTGCTTAGCAATATCATGCACAGAATATTTTTACAAGTAGATAGATTTTGGTAGATGTCAATCAAAGTTTTTCCATAACATTAGTTAGGCACTACTACCCTTAAAAAATTAAACATTTTCTGCCAATGTCAATGAACATTGTTGATTCAATTCAACCAAAACCCTATTTAGTGGCATCAAATTGCTGATTTTGTACATATGACTGGAAAGCAATGTCAAAGAAGCCTCCAATAACTAACCCTCAGAAACTCTCAATCTAATTCAATTCAATCTAAAACATTTAATAAATATACACTAAATAGGCACAAAAAAGGCAAAAGTGACTTAACTGTCCTCACTATATCACATATCACATGTYATGTAAAACACTCAACAGAAAATTGGAGAACCCAGAGAAAAACCCTTGTGGTATTAGGGAACAAAAAGCCCACCAAACAAACTCAACTCACATATGATCCAGCCTTGGCCGGTTATTTAACCCAAACCACAGCTATGAGAGGCACTACACTACACCACTCATGCCTCTCAATGGGTGGAGTAGTGGTTTTCCCATAATGCCTTTTGGTCTCAGCTTCTATGTTCTACATTTTGAACTTGACAATGATTTTGTAATTAAGTATATACAGTAATGTATGACATTAATAATAATTCACAAGGAAATAAAATATCTTGAACAATTTTTTACTAAACATTTTTGATCAGCTACCCTCATAATTTGCATCTAGGTGAGAACACCAGACATCAAAACATCTTCTATACTATAGCTCCTGGAATTTTTACGTTTGTTGGCTAAAACGTTAGTCGATTGCCTTTTACGTCGATTTAAACATATTTTAATGTCTGGCGTTCGTGCCTGGATACATAAGGCGCTACTCTTTTGTATGAATATGATTTTATCATTCGATAATCTTACCATGACATAGATTGCAATCATGTTTCCCAGTCTCAAAGCTTTGAAAATATAAAAGGGTCCTGAATTTCCTTGTCGATACTGTAAAGCGTAAATATCATCGAGAGAATTCCATTCAGGAGGAAGGGTCTCGCCATAGTCAAACTCATCTTCGGTATTTCTCTACAAAACAATTTAAAAGGGTTCAAACGATAATGATAATCTTGTAAGGTACATTTAATAAGTAAAACCGAAAGCGACTATGAATCACCTCTTCTCCACAGCCAATACACCTGTAGCCTCTTTCTACCAAGCAAGCATGAGTAGCTAAGATGAGAGCATCATATTTGTCTCTTAATTTTGATAAACGCAGTAAATTTTTTATTTTTCCTTCCGCCATCTTGAAACCCTGCGAGCCCGCAAGCCCTCTGGACTACCATTCACATACCGGTCATCAAATGACGCGCGCGCGTCAACCCAGAAAAGCGCGGGAAAAAGGATTTCAATAATCTTATTTTCTGGTTTTGGAATTCGTCTCTCTCGCCATATTTCAAAAAAAGTTATCATTACAAAATATATCAAGAAGAAATCTATAAAAATGTCCGAGAAAGAAGAATTGTCTCCATTAAATGAAGATGGAAGTCTTGAAATTTCAACGAAGCCACACACATTGATGGACGATAAAACAACAGCTGAATCAAATTACCATATAAAGTTTACTAACGATAATAAGGTACGGTCATTGCACGGTTAAAAAAGAGCTACATTTATATTATAAATTGCTTAGTGACTTACACCTCGCATGGCAAAAAAACGCTTACAGCTGTGCATGTCTGCAAAGCGGCGGCCGGGTTTTCGCATACAAATTTCATGGTGTCAGGTTTATAATTAGTTGATCGACAAGACTGTTTCAAAAGAAAATGAAAAAGAAGAAAGAAGGAAACTACAAAACCGTATGAAAAAGTTTGTAACTGTACCAGAGAGGGGGAAAAGCGCATTAGTGTTACTGTAAATAGTGCATTTCGGCCGCGAAACTAGTTTCCCGTTACAAGTTTCGTACGCTGAGAACCCTTATAGTTTGATTCATTGAATATTTCTTATGTAACGTTCGAACAAAACCAGGGATACCCTGTTTGGCAAACAAGAGATTATGAACTACTTATTTCATTTTCTCTTCTGGCAAAAGTTTTTTTTATTTTTCCCCTTTAAAGAAAACGGAAAGGGGGRAAATAAGGACATCTCTGCTAAGCAGGGTTAGCCAGCAACGGCGGCTCAATTATTAAAGTGGGGAGGGGGAGGGGAGGGAGAATGGGAGGGCGGGGCTAAGGTGCACTTTTCAAATATGTGGTGAGGGAAAAATCTATTTTTTCTTTATTATAGTACACTCAACAAAATTACTCGACTCTGATTGGTCGAGAGGAGTACAATTATAGCGTTAATTGTACTCCGTAGGAGTACCGAATTAAGTCGCTATGGCAACACGGCCAAAACAATGTCAAAACAATTATTTTCTATCATTTTGTACTTTGAAAAAATATAAATAAAATTTTAAACATTTAAAGCCGTAAGATCTAATAAAAACTAATCTTTTTTATGCATTTCAGTTGCGCGATGGACTGAAAATCGGCCGCCAAACAGACAAAGATGAATGGCGTCGCTTCGCATTTTTAACTGAAATTTTGTTGAGTGAACTATAAACAAAAAATCGCACGATCTTCTCGTACAATTTGGAATTAACAGACACTCGTAATGTTTTGAAAGTTCTTGTAATTGCACTCGCCTTAAAATTGTACTCGAGATCGTGCGATTTCCTATACTAACGGAATTCAAACGGCTAACCTGAAAATCAAGGTGCCATTCTCGTAAAAAGTGGGATAGTAGGTTAAACCTCCCCTCCCCCGCGCGCCCCAGCTACCCCGGAAAGCAGACGATCAAGCCATGATATAGGTTTCAAATTTCTTGATTCTTTGAGTGGCTTCGTTTAGGAACAGACAAGTTATTTATTTATTTAGGACTCAGTAGATGCCGAAGGCGGTGATAGAACATCTTCATGTAATAATCAAACCAGTCAACCACTTACTTTTGTGGAAGTATTAGAAGAGGAGACGCATCCCAAAGGATCGTTAAATGAATCAAATTCTGCTCTTGATGCTATTGCAAGACAATTTAGAAACGGCTTCTTCGAGGTAATCGGCGAAGTTTATTTATCTTGAAGCATTTTGTTTTTCTCATTACTAACATTAAATTTGAGAACGAATTTGAATGAGCGAAGTCTTCCTCCAAGGCTTGAAAAGACACATTGACTATAGGGCGGATCGAGGATATTCTAAACAGGAGTGGCATGCATATAGTCATTAGTCTGAAAGAGTTTAGCCATTTTCTTGCTGAAGCTAGAAGATTTGACGCCCAAAGTAAAAATAGAATGATTGATTGTTTGATGTTAGCAAATGTATATTATAGATTTTACTCTTGAAAATCACCATCAGATGACAACACAGAGCCTTTTTCTCATGGAATATACTAATTCATTACTATCATAATCATCATCATTATTAATATATATTATTATTAATTTTATATTGACTGATTGATTACAGCTAGTTGAAGAACTCAAGTTAAGACGGGTACGTTTTAAACCGGGTAGGGGTTTTGGGTAGGGTTGTGCCGCCAGGACCTCAAAACCCTGACCCTATCCCAGACCTAAAATTTTGATTTTACATACCCTACCCTAGGCTAAAACTAAGAATCGTACACCCTATCCCAGACTAAAAGACGGAAAATACGGTTTTACAATCGATTGCAATCAATATTTACTAACATTTTTATCGTTTTTGTGTCTGCAGGAAGCGTAGCCTATTAGCCAGACAAAAACGACCAAATCGTTAACCCTATCCCAGACTAAAATGACACCCTATCCCAGACAAAATGTCAAAAAATGATATCCTACCCCAGACCCAAAAGCCGAAAAACCATACCCTATAGGGCGGCACATACCCGTATAGCAAATATAGGGGAGTAAAGCCCCCCTTCAGCAGAAACAAAAAACAAAAAAAAACTGAAGAATTAGATGCTTTTTTTTATTGTTTTCCGTTGTGTTGACGGAAGAAACTCAATTAGCCCCAACCCCCCTCTAAAATTTTGGCTGAATCCGCCCTTGGGTTGGGTAGCACTATCCGATGGATAAATTTTTTTAGAAAACTCATTAATAATTCATGAAGAAAACACAATAGAAATCATGACCATGAAGGTGATTTTATATCTGATAAAGATTCGTCTTCATTTGCATAAACTTTAACTTGGATTTTCTCTATCAAACTTGGTTCATTTCGTAAAAAAATCGGTACACAATGAGAACAAACATTATAAGTTTTCTAAGCCGTTCAATAATCTCGCAGATCGTGTTTTATCGGGTCTAAAACCACTCGGCTGCGCCTCGTGTTTTATACCCGATAAAACACTCCTACTCGTTTATTAAACATTACATATACAGTGAATATATCGATACTTTTATCCGAAAAAATAATCCACTGCAAAAGATTTATTTATTGGATAGWGCTATCCACCCTTCCCACAACTGGGCACTGAAAATATTTTTTACATTTTTTTTCCCGGCCAAAGTTGCAGGAAACCTTACTTTTTGTTATTGTTTTGCCGTTATTACATTTAGCAATAATAATTAATCAATGTTTAATTCCTCGTAGACCCTTGATAATGAAAATGAAAAGCAGATTCAAACTCTATTCAGTGAAAAAAGCCAAATACATCAAAAATGGGTAAGTCTTGCAATGTTTTCCATTTTGTTCAGTTCATTTTTTTAAGAGAACGACAAGCCTTTTCTAAGAACGTATATCAGCTTTCTTATCCCTCGAAACATGATGGTAGCTGGCCAACACCATAACCCTCGGTGATTAAGATGCGATAAAATATTGATCAATATGGTGACAATAAGTATTGTGTGCTTTGCATTCTACGAACTTAGGAAGAAGAAGTTTCCAAAAGCAATGTACAAAAGAATGTATACGAGAAAGAAATGAAGGGCATCACTAAACAGGTGAGTGAATGAGTGTATACAGGGAAAGTTACAACACTCCATACCCCCATGCAAAAATGCCATTATTTTCCTTTTCTTATGTGAGAACTTCATAAAAACACCTTTTCCTTTTTTTACATAGTTTGAAGAAAGATTACATCAACATGAAATAGACAAGGTACATTATATTTTAAATGCAAAAATGTTACTGTAAAAAAAATGATCATGTTATTTATTGCTTGAATGTTTTGTACGATTGCATTGAAGGCTAAAGATGATCTTGCTGTGCAGTGCAATATGAAGGAGATGAATCACCTTAAAGATGAAATAAGAGCTCTTCATGTAAGTACTTTTATGATTATCAAAAACAACTTTCTTTACTAGACCCTTGACTAGACTTTTGTTATTCCTAATCTTATGGCTGTCTTTCTCCCTTTAGCTTGCTAAATATAGTATCGAGAAAAGGGCAAGTGAATTGGTAAGTTGAACTTAGACCATAAGAGTACCTTTTTAAAAGAGTTTACAATGACTAGTTCGATTCCATTAAGATTGAATTAAATTATCGTTTCTTTCTAAAATCTATACAAGTCTATACTTTAAATAGATACATATTAATATTTAGCATGCTATATTTATTATTGTCTTTTTAATTTTAACAAATTCTTTTTAACATTGTAAAGCGCTTAGGACAGAAATGTATAGGCGCTATATATGCTATATATTATTATATTATACCTATTCATTAAAGAAAAATGGGCACAGCTTATTTGATTGTACATAGTCATCAGTTACTGTACATGCATAATTATTTTTTCCCCTGGTATAACTTGAGGACCGAGAACAGCAAATTCAAGCGACAGCTCAAGAACATCACGTCAAACAATTGACAGAGATGGAAAAGAAATATCATGAAGCAATATCACAAACACACGAGGCCTTTGATTTGGTAAACAAAGTAGAAATAAACGGTAAGTAACGACGAAACGACCATTAAGGTGGCTCGACCCCCTCACGCTTGACCGCTACCTTCCACTTTTGGAACGCTAGTGCATAAACGTCTTTTATCCGATTGCAAGTCTTTTTTGCACATAAGTCACATAAAGATTGAATTAATGTTTGATGTAGTTTTTTATGAGATCGGACGTCATAACACGTGATTAGGATGACATATTTGATTTCGTTTAGAAAATAAATTTAGCCTTGCAGAGCGTTCAACACTAAAATGCTTCGTACCACATAATTATATACTAGATGCCTCCATTTGTGGGGATTGACCATGCACGGTCTCATCTCGCTTGGCTGCTTTCCGATTTACTCCCGAAGTATGGTTCTTTATYTAAACTCAAAAGTCTTGCTCGCTTCTTTCTTGTAGTTTTAATTTGAGGCATGTTCGCCGATTCTATTCACTCAGACTGACAAAGTACATCATGACAAACGTCCCACGTTTGAATAAAAAAAAACAACTGTTTGTTACCAAACTTCGGGGGTAAATCGGAAAGCAGCCAAGCGAGATGAGACCGTGCATGGTGCTAAAGAATTTGATGTTATGATCATTAGCAAACAATAGAATTCCCAGAGCATCAAATCGTTGGGAAACGATCAATGTTTTCTGTATTTCT